ATTGTCTGATGAAATATCAGCAAAAATTGAGAATTGGAAAAAAATATTTACGAAACCACGAAAGAATTGTGGTTATCATCTTTGATTACCTCGTAGTACTATTTCATCAATTACTCTGTAAGTATAACTGTTCTAGTAACAATCATCAGTTATCTGATCGTAGATTCTAAATAACTAAAACGGAAGTATGGGAACTTGTATTCTAATACTAGTAAGAGTTTTTTCAAATCAATTTTCTGTTAGTTATGATCATTTCAAGAAAATATTGTTTGTTGTGTTGTATTTTCATGTTTTCATGAAATCAAGTTCATCAGGTACAGTCGTATTCGATAAAAAAGCGTACAAATATTGAAAAGAGAGGATTTCGGGATCCTAGTTCTAGTTGTGTTGAACTGGCTCAGCCAAAGCTTTGTGTTTTTGAGAACCTATGACAACTTTACTGTCAACATTTGGTGAACAATCATTCCCGATAGCCCGTTTTTATGCAGAATAGGATGACGTTATATACTTGTACGCTTTTTTCTGAATGCGACTGTACCTAATATAGTAAGGGAAAAATTTGTCCAGTTCTTATACGATTTTTTTAGTTGATTGCGAAACCACGATCAGATTAATATTAATTGTTATATTAGGTCAGTTTTACATGGTGTACCTGAAAGGTCAGTACAAGATGTTAGGTCAAAATTAGGCGATTTGAAGCAACGTATCTTTGTCCAAAATTGCTCCGTCTCCGAGGTACAGGGTAGTAGATGTAACAAATCAAAATCTACAAGTATCAGTCGTTTTTTCATACAATCAATAGTTTTCGAGATATTCATGGAGAACTGAAATAAAAAATTTCATTTATCTTGAATGACTCAAAAATGACTGAAGCTAAACCAGATTCATCGACGGATTCTGAATCACGATCGTATTTGCTGAAACCTTCGTAATTCAACCGACTCAATATCTCTCATAGTTACCTAAGATCTCAATTATGAGGATCGAATTTTTGGACGCACTGTATGCAATGCAGATACTTGTAGACCAACTTTCCAACTTTCCCGTGCTGATCACGCGAAATGGTCGAGTTCAATTCAGTGCAAATCTAAGACCTAGCATTGTCCTTTCATTAATTCTCCTTTCATGGTCAGTGGGTAGTCCGAATTATATATCCTCGGTATCAGCATCAGTAATACTATTCCATAGAACAATCATATCAGATTAACCGCGAAAGCTGCTCCACAAAATCCAGAACATAATTTGAAAAATGGTATTTTCCATTCGAACTGAATATTCATCAGTGAAAAGGCATTATATCCTGCTGAGACTTTTTCCATGAAGGTTTTACACACATTGTTAATGCTTCTACATGTATGCATAGTTCGATTCATTGCTTTTCCTAGATATTCCAGAACATTTCATTAGCGCCCGAGGTTTCTGGATGATGATTGGGCCTTCGCAAGTGGTGATAATAAACGTAGAATGCAAACGTGACTCCATCAGTTTCCATGGGATATGGTTGGTTATCTATAGTCAATCAGAGAGAGCTGATGAAACGTATTCAAACACCGAACATATCAAAGCTGAATAAATACCAGCTCTGAAATATTTCTGATTATTTTCCTCATAAACCAATCAGATCGTGCAAATGGGTTAAGCTACCTTGTATAATTTGGAATAAACGTGGATATACATAGATGAATATCTGCAACTTTTCAGTTATACAGTGTGTCCCTTAACCCTCCAGTGGTGACGTGGTTATACGAAACATGAGTGGTGACGTCGTTCTGAGAGACATTAAATTATTTTTGTGACACAAAAATATATACAATCAGAATATAGTCAGTTTATATGATTCTGTTCGAAGGAAACATAATCGGAAATAAAAAAATACAATTCCATTGAAGATCCTCTTCAACCGTCATACATGTTTTCATGAGATGTAGAAGTCTTCGTTGTTCTGCTCCTAATATGGATGATTTCTGTTAGAAATAATATTTCATTCGTATGAGAATATACAGGGTGGGCCACCAGTAACGCCTCGGTCTCTAGAAGGCTATAACCACTTATCTTCTTGGAATTCCTCTCTAGGAAGTTGCATGTCAACATAGGCTACCATTTAAAATTATTTCGAAACATACAGGGTGTCCCCAGAAACCATAAAACACTGAAGTCAAACTTTTTTCTATCGAACACCCTATATATTATTTCATTTTGAGATTCTTCCTGATGAGCTGATTTCAACGGCCCATCATACTTGGGGTCTAGCAGTTATAATTACTGAAATATAGGTGTGGAAAAATCGAGATTTTCCAAGTTCAAGAATTTTTTGTGTCGAAACTATTCATAATGTCGAAACGGCTTACATGTCCCTATCCCAACTTTTGATTAACTATCTACTGATATTTAATTGGGACATATACCGGGTGACCAAGATTCTGAATTCTGCACCACCCTGTATTTGTTTCAATTAAATGTCAGTAGATAGTTGATCAAAAGTTGAGATAGGGACATGTGAGCCGCTTGGAGTGCACGAAAGGGAATTATTGTAAAGCTCCATATATTGAAGTTATAAACTCATGCAACAGTATCTTATTTCACATACTCCTATGGTGGAGAAATTCTGATATCAAGAAAGAATGAAGAATGTTATATTTCAGTAGAACATCGCAACGAAGAATCCATTTCGCAGGATTTTTTTTCATGTTCTGGTTCCCACGAGAAAGGAAATCCTGTAATGTTCAGAGAACATCGTGAGAACCAAGGGATCCAGATCCTCGCTGTTCGTTGGATGAACGAGTCTTTGGAAAGAGATGTTCTGCATGTCTCCAAAGTGACCACGAAGGGGGTGCGAAGCCTCAACTCGACGGGTCAATCTCGCGAAGACTGCCAGAAAAGCATCTTCCATGAAAGTATCTTTCAAATAGAGCCTGATGGCCAACTTTTTTACGAAGTTCCAGAGAAGTGAGTGAGTTTGTGAGCGAGGCATCACCCACGCGACGAATTGCCCTTTTTGGACAGAATCAAACAGTTTCAGGGTATGTTTTTGTGCTGCACTCCAAATGTGGGAACAGTATTCCAGGACAGGTCGGATCTGTGTCTTATAGATGATAAGCAGCTGACTGGAAGTGAAATAGCTCCTGGCCTGAAACAGAATACCAAGTTTTTGGGATGCACTTCTAACAATTGATCTCACGTGATTTTCCCAAGAGAGATTATTGCTGAAATTGATGTCTTCAAAGCTATGGTTACTTCTGACGAGCTCATGTTGGGCACAGTGAGAAAGACTTTTCAAGAGAAAAGGCATGCCTGTGTTTTGCTCGCATTGAAATCTACCAAGTTATTGGACCCCGATTCGAGAATTGTTGCCAAGTCCATATTCATGCTACCAAATAAGATGTAGAATGTAGAGAAAGCAGTCACTCTGAGAATTCTCATCATGGAAGGAGAGATAGTCGATAGTTGGCCATTTAAGTCCCATCATTTTTGTATATGCTGGACTCACTATGGGAAACTCGATGTTTCGATTATGTTTTACTGGCTTTTTGGCGGGGAGCTGAATATGATTGCTGGGTACCCAGCACTTGGACCAGCTGTCGGCCGCAGTGTTCTGATATACAGAGTTCCACATATGGGACCATTTACTGGGCCGCTGATGTCAGGTATGGGAAAAATATATAAGGCTATTAACGCCCCATATCAAAATGTTTGCTGGATTATGTATGGTTTAACAACTTGCCATAGAGGACCCCTCCCAACCTTGTTCTTACAATACGCATATCGAGTTCATGAGTGTAACATAACATATCCTGAATGTGCATGAATACTAGGATTATACTATACTATAAGTCGGTGGTCTGTACTCGCCCCTAGCCGTAACTAGCCATGTGGACAAATGTCATATTTAAAGAGTTGAAGCAATCACTGTACGTTGACCTCTACATAGACGTTAACGTACAAAAAATAACGTTGACCTCTACGTAGACGCTAACGTACGAAAAATAACGTTTATGTATTGTCGTTGAATTGAGTTGAAGTCGTCACTATTTGGTCGTCACTATCATCGTAACGTAATAATACATTTTGTTATCGGTTTGTATTGGTCATTTTTGATTGTGTGTTCAGATCCGAACATTTATTCCTGTTGAAATGATAGGACTCCTTGATGCAGAACTCTTTGGGAGTCCCGAATTCGATAATTTTGACTCATCGGCATATTTCGAGTGTAGTTTGGTTTACGTACATCGATATTTAAGGTAAGCGTGAACGTACGTGAGATAACGTACAGTCGTAAGCCCACTACCAACGAAAACGTGAAGAATTGGAAAATGAGCATGCGTAGCTGTCAATTTCTACGTTTACGTTAACGCTCGTGGCAGCACTTTAACTCTCTAATAGACTATACTCGAAATATGCCGATGAGTCAGAATCATCAAATTCGGGATCCCCATGGAGTTTTGCTTCAAGGAGTCCTCTCATTTTAACAGGAATGAATGTTTAGCTCTGAACAAACAACCATATACTACCAATATTAACCGAAAACAAAATGTATTATCACGTTACGATGCAGTGACGAACCAATCAACGACTTCAACTCAATTCAAAGACAATACGCGAACGTTATTTTTCGAACGTTAACGTCTACTTGGAGGTAAACGTACAGTGATAACTTTAACTCTTTTATGATGATTCAGCGGAACAGAGCAATGTTCGCTGTTGTGATACGAGGCGATGTTCGCGCCTGCAGGCAACATCGTCGCAAACCTCAATTCGTTCGCGACGGTGTTCGGTTCGAGAGAAGTGCCTAAATCTCATCACCCTTTATAATCTCAACTGTTGATTTTAGAGTGTTGGTGCAATGGAGACATTTGATCAGCACCTCGAGTTCTACGATATATCAAAAATTCGAGTGAATTCACCGGAAGCCAATTTCCCATTGATGCGGTGCGGGGTCCTTTATCCAATTTCCTCAATACTCCAAATGTGACAATGAGATGAACGATCTGTTCTTTCTGCAGGCGACCTGACCGACCTGCAGACCGCAATGGCACGCTTCGTGGCTGCAGCCAGAGTGTACTCCAAGTACCCGCTGGACCCGCGCTGGATGCTGCAGCTGCTAACCGACGTCGAAAACGGATGGACCGGCGGCACGCTGACTAGGGAGGAGGAGATGTGGCTGGCGGAGAAGTTCACTGCTATGCAAGGTACAAGGGTGGATGGAACCATCAAGAATTATTGATTTATTGGTTCAATATCAATCAATCAATACATTCATTTTGAATCGAGTCGGCCGTTACTTGATGGAAATCCATGGCAAATGTAGAAACTTCACAGACGATAAGATTTTCACAAAATTCTCAAACACAGGACATGTTTCGCTAACACAGTAGCTTCGTCAGGTGATATACTGGTACGATGAACTAAACTAACCTTGGCTTGCGGGATATATCTTACTTTCCGAAGGAGGGAAGATTTGTATTGTATTTCGTGCAAGATAATTCATTCAATATTCGTAGCAGAGCGCTTTCGACTGTTAAGTCATCATCAGTGCGTACTCGTCAGGTTAACAGGGAAATTTGTCCATGAAAATATCTTGGTATTGTTATTTTGGAAAACTACGCATCTCTCAATCACCTAAAATAGTTTGTTTCTCCAGAGGTTCCTATAAATCTAATGGTCGCTTTTTGTTCAATGGTCATCCAATAGAAATTACTAGTTCCGAGAGATATCTCAGCGTTCTATTGGAATCTTCATCAATTTTTCGTGAAATGGCTGTCGCTGCCAATGCTAAAGCTGGACAAGCTGCTGCTGCTTTACTCCCAGTTCTCGCTATAAAACCAAGGTTGAGTCCATGCATACTAGGTTACGTCTGTTAGACCGTTACCACCGATACAACAAGGCCTGCATGCCTCGTGGGTGACGTCACTTAGTGAGGCGTAACCAGCGGCTCGAAACGACAAGCGCTTATAGCGCTATAAGGCGACCGCGTATTTCGATTTTAGTTTTAGATCATCATTGAGCCGATTTTGCTGTTTTTTGAAGTGCTTCCGGTTAAAAAAGGATGCCAGTCGTCAACTGAGCCCTTCTTAAAACCCCCATTCGATTTTATTATGGAAAAACGAAGTTTTAAAGCAAAAACCAGGATAGAACACAAATATCCACCTACCAGCAACCCATTCGAATTAAATATATTGGCAAAAATTGTGGTGAAGGTAAACTTCACACCTACTTATACAGGGCCCGCAGAACATAAACTTATCGAGAGATTGATCGAAAGAAAATTGTGGAAAATGTATTTTATTTTGATTGACATGCCGTTTGTTACAATTACAATATTTATCTTGGATAATTCCTATTACCTGAAAAAAATAACCAGTGAGTGTTTTCAATTTTCTGTTGTTGGATTTTTCACCCAAGTGGGATCGTTACACTTGAAACCGTAATTTTTAAGGGTAAAACTGCATTTATCATGCGATGGTTTTTTTTTCAAAATTTATCTTGGTACTCACGTATTTTTGTCTGATAAACCGAATTTTATAATGAAAATGTGAACAAACCACTATTTATTGAGATATTTCAAGAAAAAGTTCGAAATTTCGCCTTCTTTCTCCCCTTGTGTTGAGGGCATTTGAAGCTACTTGCTCTTATTTTATCATTGGACACTTTATATACTCATGATGTACTTCGATGGCACATTTTTATATAGAAAATTCAACAGGAAATATGATTTTTATGGCGAGTTTTTCATATTTAGTGAACAAGCATTCCAGATGACGACCATTTAACTCAATAGTCAATCAAAATACGAGATGTCAAATGTCAATAGATTGCTTTCGAATGACATTACACACTCCATTATTTTGAATGATATTCTTCCTTCTTTTCACTAAATATGGATTAATCTCAAGAAAATCATATTTATAGTTGAATTATATATAAATTGTCCAATATGATGAAAAAAGAAGGGAAATTTGTTCTAAATGCCATCCAGAAGACAGGTGAAAAAGGTGAGATTAGGAACTTTTTAGTCAAATATCTTTCATGATAAATAATCATGATAAATGCAGTTTCACCTTTTTAAGTAGAGTACTTTGTAGTTTATGTTAATATGATAGTTGCAATTTGATCATTGGAATGAATTCTGCATTCATTGCCACGAGGCAAATGACCGTTTTCAGAAAGAAATTTGAGAATGAGAATTAAAAATGACCGTTTATTATGAACCTTCAAGAAAATTTCCTCGAATTCAGAGATGATTTTTGTTGACTATAATATACGAATACAAAACTAACTGCACAATCGAAGCTTTTCTATTTTTCCTCTACTTATATTTTTATGAGAGAGTAATTGTCTTCTATTATTAATTCATCATTATAAATCAAGCTCTGTTTACTACTGAACTTAGATGGAGTAAAATCCTCACGGTGAATTGCATATACCCACATTTTCGATAGCTTCTCGTCAACGGGAAACTAAAAGCATGAACTTTTGAACCACCACATAATTCCCCGACAAAAAGGGAACACAACACTTGAAAGGCATTGTTATTTCGCCGATCACAACACAAAATATTTCACAAAACAGTAATTTTTCCGCCAATTATTTTGATGAATGAAAAACAAAAGAATTCGGGACCGTTTCAAAAACATACGTGAATCACCGATGAATTAACACACGAACTGACGCGTTAGTCGACAAGCGATAAAATAAAACACTGGCCTCGTCTTGGTGACGTCACGAGCTGTTTACGTCAGAGTCTGCTGGCCTTGTTGTATCGGTGGTAACGGTTAGACTCCCTGGTTGTCAGTATTATGTCCAACTGTATACATATTTGGAGTCTACGTTCTGTTGACATATTTGAGCATCAGGTACACACGCAATTTATCAAGAAACTGTTATCACTGCCGTTCCATACACCCGACTATGCTGTCAGAATTGAATGTGACTGTGTCAAAATCTCATACAATATTCTCAAGTGGTCACCAAACTGGCTTATACATATTTTTTGATATGGATGAAAAGCGGTCGCCTAAAATTATACTCAAACGTCAAATGTAAATTACTGATTGTGATCACAAATAGAACTGGGTATTGCAGATCAAATCTTTTTTCCACAGAGATTCATGCTGAGGATATTTGGAACAATCTTTCTCTTGAGCTTATTAAATCAAAGTAAAAGTGTCTGCTAATGAAATTCAAGGAAATATTGTATGAGAGGAACCGCATACTCCTGAATCAGTCTTCATTTTTTGAAATTATAATTCGTGCTCCATTTGGCATAACATGCCGCAGCGATCATTATGATGTTAATATATCTCCCTAAATATTCCCGTTAAATATACATGCAAGAACCATTCCTCAAATAATACTATGTATTCACCTACAAAGGCTCGCTCAACACATAACATCAATCCAAAGGAGTGATAGTCAGTCTGTAATCACAAATCTCTCTCTCTCTCTCTCTTCTCTCTCTCTCTCTCTCTCTCTCTCT